AACGTATTTTCTTCTAAAATGTAAGTTACTGCCTACACTGGAGCTGTTGGCTGCAGGCTCCCCAGCCTTGCTCCAAATAAAACACAGAAATAGATTTCCTGCCAAGCACTGGGGAAGTTTGAAGACTTCAGTTTTTAAAAATACAATCTTTTTATCAGTGCCCTGAGCCTGCCAAAGGTAATTATGGGCCATGGCACATTTACATTAATGCATAGGACCTACAGACATTTCAAAAGCTTAATGGAGAAACTCAATAAATGTACATATCGAAAAAATAAATTAATTAAATTAAACTGTCATGTAAAGATATCACTTAATTTCGCAGAGCGGAAGGCGCTTTTAATGGGAATGGAATGGATCAGTGAGCATTTCAAAACCCAAAGCTATAATTTAAATTCAGGCTCTCCTCTAGTGTGCAAGTCACAAGACATATTTATTACAGCCTTGGATTGTCAATTGCAATCGGTTTAGCAGAGACAAAGCCGTGTTGTTTTGCTTCCTTGCCCTCCTGGCTGGTTCGATATATTTTGATGTCAGACTATTGACAAGCAAACCAAATACAAAATATAAAAAATAAAATCATGTTCGCCTGTGAACTGGCAAAAATGCAGTCCAAGGTAAATGGAACGCTGTAGCCTACGTATTTATTTATCAAGCAGCAAGGGGAAAATGGTGATGTGAAGCATTTAAACCTCTTTAAGTAAACTAGTTGAATACATTTACTGCTGCTCTTGAGGCCTGCTATGTGGCAACATAGACACAAATAGATAAAAATAAGTAAAAGCACTGTGCAAATGAATAGCATCATTTATAAGCCGCTGCTCTGAGTTTTGCAGGCGGCAGTAACAATCAAAGTTTTTTGCTCTTGACACTCTTTTAGGGCTAGAGCCAAAGCCTGAGACCCAGGTCCCCAGCAAGCGGATGGCAACGCTTCTTCCAGGCCGTGCACCCCTCCAGCTCTTCATTCCCGGGGTGCCCCCAGCATGGTTTGCTGCAGGATTTTATTTGGTAGCGACAGCTACAAACCAAGCCTGTGCTTCCGCAGTCACGAGCGACCGTCCCCTTCTTGCTGAATGAGCGTTCCAAGAACGGTTCGGTTCTTTTTCTGACATTCTTCTTTCTGTATTCTCCAGTTCTCTTTCTTGTTAAGTTCATTTTCTGACCTGGAGCACTGAAACTGGTCCGCTCATCGGGTTACATCTGTCACGGCTGCCTCCCGCCTTCTTCCAGCCCCCGTGTTGAGCTTAGCCGTGGAGATGTTTCTCCGAGCCTCAACCTAGAGCCCTCTGCCCAGGATCTCCGCAATTTCTTGCGGAGCGCTCAAGTTTGTGAATCCGGCAGCACCGACAAACTCAAACCTCGCGGTTAGGAAGAGCTGCAGCACCGCCCGGGGCGGGGGAGAGGAGACGACGGCCGTACGCGTGTCACAATGATGTCACGATGTCACGCCATGCCTCTGATGAGTGGCTTGTCTTCAACCACGAGTTAATTTCGTTCTTTTATAAAAATATCTGCATATCTGCATTTGTTCTTACGCAAATAAGTAATAGATTTTAAGGAAAATGGGCTAAATTTTTGCTTTCAGTGTAATCTTTTAGCAGTTCGTTCCCCAAGCTAATTATTATACTTAAAAACCCCACACATCCAAATGTGCCTTTTAATACTAGACTGGGGTTTCTTTTGCTCACACATTACACTATAAACTAAACAGAAGCACCTGTTTATAACCTTTCTGTATGTGGTGGGTTGACCCTGGCTGGATGCCAGGAGCCCACCAAAGCTGCTCTATCACTCCCCTCCTCAACTGGACAGGGGAGAGAAAATATAACGAAAGGCTTGTGGGTCAAGATAAGGACAGGGAGATCACTCAGCAATTACCATCATGGGCAAAACAGACTCGACTTGGGGAAATGAGCTTGATTTATTACCAATCAAAACTGAGTAGCGTAATGAGAAATAAAACCAAATCTTATAACACCTTCCCCCACCCCTCCCTTCTTCCTGGGCTCAGCTTCACTCCCAGTTTTCTCTACCTCCTCCCCCCGAGCGGCGCAGGGGGACGGGGAATGGGGGTTGTGGTCAGTTCATCACGCGTTGGCTCTGCTGCTCCTTCCTCCTCAGGGGAGGACTCCTCACACTCTTCCCCTGCTCCAGCGTGGGGTCCCTGCCATGGGAGACAGTCCTCCATGAACTTCTCCAACGTGGGTCCTTCCCACAGGCTACAATTCTTCACAAACTTCTCCAGCGTGGGTCCCCCACGGGGTCACAAGTCCTGCCAGCAAATCTGCTCCAGCCTGGGCTCCTCTCTCTCCACGGGTCCACAGGTCCTGCCAGGAGCCTGCTCCAGCATGGGCTTCCTACAGGGTCACAGCCTCCTTCAGGCACACCCACCTGCTCCAGCGTGGGGTCCTCCCCGGGCTGCAGGTGGATATCTGCTCCCCTGTGGGCCTCCATGGGTGCAGGGGCACAGCTGCCTCACCATGGGCTGCACCAGGGGCTGCAGGGGAATCTCTGCTCCGGTGCCTGGAGCACCTCCTGCCCTCCTTCTGCACTGACCTGGGGGGCTGCAGGGTTGTCCCTCTCACATATTCTCACTCCTCTCTCTGGCTGCAGTTGTGCAGGGTTTTTTCCCCCTTCTTAAATACGTTATCCCAGAGGCGCTACCACCATCACTGAAGGGCTCAGCCCTGGCCAGCGGTGGGTCCATCTTGGAGCCGGCTGGCATTGGCTCTGTCGGACATGGGGGAAGCTCCTAGCACCTTCTCACAGAAGCCACCCCTGCAGCCCCCCACTACCAAAACCTTGCCATGCAAACCCAATACACTGTAACACAATCGGTTTTAGCTTGCTATGCTATTCCTCTTTCATGCCCCTTTTCCAAGATGCACATTATTACCCTTGATCACTCTTAAGAGAAATTTTTATTTTTTGTCACCCTCTTCAGTCTTTGGCTTTGAGCGGGACTTAAACTGTTTTCCAAGTGACAGGTTACCACTGACTGCTGTTACAAAATATTTTTTTTTTTCTGTTTCTTCACTTTTAAGGACTGCAGAATTGGACACAGCATTTAAAGCGTGTTTTGTCCCACTACCAGTAATCTTTCTACTTATTTACATGGCTCCTACTGTCACACTATCCAAATGCTAACAACATTCTTTGAAAGAAGGCAGTGGGGAAGGAAAGCGCTCTTAGCCACTCTGCAGAAGAACAGGTGCTGAGAGATTTAGGGCCTGCTCCAAAACAGCATGTAGGCTCCAATTCCTACTGTCACTGATGTCAGTGACAAGCCAGAAGTCTAACATCTTCCTTCAATTTGGACTTCAGTGACTTCTTCAAGGTATAAGAAAATTATGGTCCAGTTGAGGACTGTATGTATCTGTATAGATAAATAGCTATCTTGTATCACCAGCCAAATACCATAACCACAGGTGTGACCATTTCTTTCCCATAAAGCCATCGCAGTCAGTAAAAATGGTCTTTTCCTAAATAGCTTTTCCAGCTTAGCTGTCTGGTTCATGAGCCCTCGCAGCTCTGAAGCTGATGAAATCTAGAGAGTCATAACTTCTTTTGCTTATGGAAAGGAAAAGACTCCAAGTGCTGTAATAGTCAGGAGAATAGGATAGGTCACAGGTGTCAGTTAAAGGGCTTAAGTTAAAGGAATACTATTTCTAAACTCTGAAAATAGCTATTACAGTAAAAATGCTTCTTTTTCCCATGTCACTTTGTAAACAATAAGTGAATACACAAAATACAAATCCTAAGCTATTAGGAGCAATGGTGACAAAGTAATGCTCTTAATGCTCTTTTAAAAAACATTTTTGAAAGTATTTATTTGAAATCTATAAAAAGTTTCATTGTATTCAGCTTTTATAGTCATAGAATTCTAAAAAAAAAAAAAGTTAAGGCATTTCTCAAATTTCTGAATATCAGCCGAATAAATTACAAACAGTTTCATACTTAAGGTAAGTATCAACTAAGAGGTATATAATCAAGATTGAACTACACTTGTATTCTTAATTCATTAGTGGAACTGTAAGGCCCTCTTCTGGATTATAAATTACTGCATGAGCAAGCAAAGTCCATGGAAATGACAAAGCCAAGCAATGCTACGAAAAGATAAACATCTCCAAGATATTTTCTTCATATTATTACCAATTTCATTTCCTGGTTTTGACATGTATGTGCCCGTCTCGGTTACTATCACTTAGTAGCTGAGAACAACTTCAACTTCTTAGCGGATTCTTAACGCTAAAGCATTTCTTACGTTAATATTCACAAGAGGAGTGGACAGTCTAAAGAGAGTTGTGGAGAGTTTCTTCACAGCTTTGTTTGAAGATGCCGTGCAGCCAAGTGATGCTTACGCTTATTAGCAATAGCATACACAAACCGAGACGTGATTCCGCATATATGCCTGTCTACATATGTATGTGACTTTCAGAAGTTATGTTTGAAAATTTGGCTTATGCTAGAGGGGGTGTAAAAAAACAACGAAGAATCGTTACAATGGTCTTATCTCAAATCTTCAAGGACTGTACAATTCCTTATATGCCTTTTGATTAAATATACACACAAGGACTGTGAAGGTCTTACAAATGCAACCTCCCAAGAGATTTACTTGGGTTTGCCTAAGCAAACATTTACTATTAAAAAGCAAGATGCTTCTCCACAGACAGAAGGAAAGAAAATATTCTAGAATGTGCTGTACAGAACGGCATCATTTTAATGGTTCCATCTGGCTGTAAACAAGTGAACTTGAATGATAAATTTTCCTCTTTCTAAAAACAGCCACTTACTCTTCTGCTTGGTCATGTATGTAACAAGAAATCACATACATAGAAACGCAGGAACAGGTAGCAAGTATCCTATCAGTAAAAACTCTGTACAGAACATTAGACATAGTTTAATTGGACTGTACATTTTAAAAAAGAAGGATGCTGAAGAAACCTTCATGTATCTTTTTTTGGTAAGTTTCTGTCTCCCATCAGCATAGGGCTAATTACAATGGTCCTTTTTCCGTACTTTTGATTTTGGTGCTGCCAAGAAGAAACAGAAAGGGAGAAAAAACAACAGAAGTGAATTACAGTAATGCCAGTGCCAGCATTCTTTTAAATTAGGTTGGGATTAAAATGGCTCCATTAATGTCAAACCTACCATTGGGATTTTCTTGTCTGTAGAAAGCTTTTAACATTTCCACTGCTTCTTTGGCACAATAGCCAGAAATGCACTGTTCAAATTAGAATAATGTTCATGAGCACATCTGAGAATAACATATTTATGCTTCACAATAATGTCTTAAGTACAGAATAATTGTAAACAATGGTACTGTCTATTCCACTAACTTAACATGCACCTTTAACTATCTGGGGGTCAGAACATCTCCTTTTCAGGTTGAATATCTCATATGTTTGAAAAATACTATCTTGAGGCTTAGTAGAGTAAATAATTTCCCTAGTAACTTAAAGTTAGGCAAAACAAACTTTCTTAGTAACTTAAGTAAAATTTTTATGCAATCTCCAATTTCTTTCTTATTAATGTGTTTCCAACTTACTTCATATACTCTTCAAGCACTTGGTAATGTGAGAGACATACACCTAGGTATTTGTAGGTAAGATTCCTACCAGACAGCGTATTCCCACAAACCTATTCTTTATTCCTAACAGTCACCCCCCAGACCTTTTTGGTCCTTCCAAAATATTTTTCCAAGCCATGAACATTAATGACAAGGCATTTAAACGTCACTAACACTAAATGCATTCTCCACCCACACTAGAAAATAATGAATTACACCTATACATCCCACTGCAGTTGCCTACAGAAAGAAAGGAAGGATTTATAGTAGCAAGAATCTTCTCCTGTCTTTCTTCTGAACATACAGAAAAGTTAAATACCACGTGCCAATGTTAGCAAATGAACACTCTTCCAGTACTGACTATACAAATTAATTCAGATGCTAGTCTCACAAACATAGTGACAGAAAGATACTTAGTATGTTTACCCTGGACTGCCAAACAGTATCATCTTGCTGACTAAAATTCTTTCTGAGCCTTGAACCTTTAGTGCTTATATTTCAGCATTGAAAATATTACCTATTTTTTACATTCATTAAATCATAAATGTTAAGTGTGGAAAAGAACTCTAAGAACCCTCATCAGGATCCTTGTATAAGGCAGGATCATCTACAACTCCATATAATATAATAAATATAATCTTATAAATACTCTCTATCTATATGTATGTATAGGTATACAGGTATACTAGTATAATGCTGTAAAACGTCTAGATTTATGTGTCCTATAGAATCATAGAATCATAGAATGCTTTGGGCTGGAAGGGACCTTTAGAGGTCCACTGAATATACCTCCACTGAATGTCTGTCCAGCCTTTCTTAAATGACAAAGAAGCCTCACTCCCCCCAGACACTCTGTTCCAGTCCTTCGGCATCCTTCCTGTTCAGAAAGTTTCCTGATACCTAAACTAAATCTCCTCTGCTACTTTTTCAGTCCATATTTATTTTGGGATTTGAACTATATGAAGTAGATCTAAGCTAATGCATTGTACCTCATATACGGACAGACTGGGAGCAAAAGTACAATAATTTCCAGTGGTTCAGCTAAAAATCACCAACTTAGTAAGTTGCTGTTACTTGATCTTTATTGATGATGTGTTTGTATATTCTGCCATTTAAAATAATTTTTCCCTCATCTCTTCCTGCAGCATACACTTACTGTTCTAAGTATTACACACCTTTTGGATATATTTATTCCTTACCTTGTTCCACAAGTATAATTGTTTCCTTTCCTCTTTGATGCAGCCTTTTAAATATTTAAGACTGTCATCAGGCTTTTCCTCAATTTAATTTAAGCACTTAATTTTTTTCACATTATTTTCTTGTAAAGTCAAGTTTACTTGACTTCTGATCACCTTTCATCTGAGTTCTCTTAAAGTGGTGCATGACATTCTCAGTGCATGGTAATGAAGCTAGGCACAGTACCCTCGCTGAAAAACAAAGGAAAACTTTTTATCGCTTACTTCAAATGGTTCTCCTGTGTCTACCATATCATCAGATGAGATGCTCAAAACTGAGCCACAGCCTCCAAATCGCTCATTTCGACAGCCATATATGACCCGTGGAATTTATGTGAATGAGTTAAGGTGTTAAGTTAAAGTGAAAAGCAAGCAGGAAGTAAAGTAGCCTGATTTTAGTAGTCATTAAACGTCACTAAAATGTGCTTGTACTTTTCAAACTAAATTAGTTTGCACTACAATTCCTCCCTCATAAAATGAGAACTTACTTCTGAATAATGTAAGATGTATTGCTGAAGATGCACATCCAGCCTTCCTCAGAAAAGGAGAAACATGAATCCCAAAGCAGAGGCATACAAAGCCACAGTTACCAATTGTTACACAACGTTCAAAACTGAACACTGAACTGAGATTAGCTCATTTTACATAACAACAGGTATCTCTAAAATGTATTTTTACATCCCTAAGAGAAATAATTGTTTGTCATAATTGCACCATTTTGCTTTCGTTCTTGAGTCTCTCAGTATTTATCATGCAGTAAATGGAGGTGGGTGCAGACTCTCAAAGATAGTAGCCCTGTTGGCTTTGCTTGACAGTGTCAAGCCCTTCTCTGTGGGCTCACTGCCAAAAGAGCAACATTTTGACATATGGTTTCCCAGCATGAATAAGCATGAAAGGATACTCATCAAGCGGACGGCAGCTGCACACATGATACAAGGCTCTACAGTTACATACAATACTGAGTGTGCAAACACTTCTGTATAATCTCTGTTGTGTTGCTTGCACCAGTCAAGGACCTGATCGATTGCCACCATTTCTGCATGTCGAGTAGCCTAGGAGATAAAAATAAACATTTTCTTAAAGTTTGCACTGATTCACAGCTTTAAGCTTCTCACTTGTAGATACAAATGAAATAAAATGCAATGTCATAAAATTATTCTTTCAAGTCAAAGGCACAATGGCCTGACATCTAATTTATTAATAATGCAATTATTTTCACTTCTGTTAAAGAAGTAATGTAATGCTTTCTTGAGAAGTCTCTTTTTAGTACACCTCTTTGCTGGTTCAAGCTGCAGAAGAAATTTGACGCAGCCCAAACTGCAGAAGAAATACTCAACCCAAGAAAACAGACATTCAACCTCAATCTCATATGCAGCACACACAAGATCCACAAGCACAAACCAGTTTTTTCTTCTACCTGTTCCTAGGCAGAGGAGTCTGCTCAGAAGTTCTCTCTCTGTCGTGCCAGCATAGTAAGACAAGACGAAAGCTCTACTTAGGGCTTAAGGGATACACAAAGCCCAAGAGAACAACTGATCTAGCCCACTGTGCTTCCAAGAGCAAGAATGCAAGCCAGGTTAATTTCTCAGGAAATACTAAGAAACTGCTCCTACCTGGTACCTTTTCCTCCCTCTGACAATGTTACTGTGCCTGCACAGAATGAATACGCTGTGAGTATGCAGTAATTTCAGTATGGTTTTGGAACTGCTTGACCTACTGTGTAGACACAGTATTTTCAGGTTGCATCAGGTTTAATGATGCCTGGGAATATGTACGTGTACAGCAAGTCCCTCAAGTAACAGGCAGGGATTGCAGCATATGCCTAATTACAAAAAGGCAGAAGAATACTGATTTCTCTTTTTTTAATCCAAGACGACTGAATGATGAGTATCTCGGAGGTCACAGCAACAGGTATGGCACAAAAACCTGAACAGAAAAGAAGTAGCGTTGACTTTAATTGCAGAGAGACAAAAACAGTCAGTAATGTCCCAGTATTGCTCTGGAATGTCTGCAGCACTGTGTTTTGCCAATCAGATGTCACTGCAAAAATATCACAAAGTACTAGTTATTGAAAGGACTCTGCCATTACAAAGCCTGATGCTTATTTGAATTAAGGCTGTTACTATTTTCCTTCTTTTTAATCTGTTCTGGAAAAAGGATGGTTTTGATACAGGCATTAGACCAAGACTTAATCAATCCAAATTACACTTGTACCTCTGCTACAGATGTCTTTATGTGACCTTAGATAACTTCCTTTCAATACATGAACTTGGGTTAGTATTTTAGCACTGTGAAGATCTGTGGTGATAACTGTGAGGTGCTCTACAATATATGGCAAAGGACTCGTATAAATAAGTTAGTGGTAAGTTTAATACTGCTTAAAAATGTTTTAGAACTCCTACAGAGATCTACGTTGCCTATGCCTACATTAGCAAATAGTGCAGTGCAAGAGGAGCGATCTGTAGAGCAAAACAGTGCTGAGGACTCAACACCAATTCAGGGGAGTTCACACCGGCCTAGCTCCAGTTTAGTCCCATGCACGGTATGTTCCCAGCAACAGCTGGAGTGCATTAGGTATGCTCCCTGAGTGCATCTTTTCAGTATAGTTTCACCTAAAAGGAAGACAGTTTGTCATCTCTGAGACACAAACCAAAGCATGGCAAGCAGACACAATCAAAAAATTTATTCCATGAGTGCACTTGTGATCTGAACTAACATTGTAATGAACCCACTTGGAATAAAAACTTGGATCTAAATCAATATGCAGACATGATTCGTCCAGACCTACCAGTGAAATGTTGCCATGAAGGTTCCCTAGCTGAACAAATGAGATCACACCAGCTGAAGTCTCAGTGCACACACCTTATGGAGACATAAAGCACAATGCCCTCCAGCAGAACGATGCCTCAGAACTACTACAGCTACCGTAACTCACACGTGTAAGTTGTGGCCATGCTAATTTTGTGCCCCTGAGATCAGAAGAGACATGAATACCCCATATTGGCTTTTCAACTCCTGAGCATGAATTGAAAGCATATAAGCAATAAGCCTTCATTACTAGAAGAAAAAACATGCCTCTAACCTATGACACTGCTTTATACCAAGTACACCGAGTAGCTTTTAGGCCTCTGGTGATCTTGGGAGTGCAAGTTAAGAAAAAACATGCAGCTGCTTTAAGTCATACCAGCTTCTGCAGTAACAGAACTACACAAAAGAGATTACACTAATACAGCATACTACTAGACTCCAGTGCATCCACATCTTAAGTAATGCATACTGGTTTGGGCATCTCACCTCATGAGGACATGGGAACACCAGGACAAATTCAGCACAGGGTGAGAAAGGATTATCCAAGTTGCAGAACAGTCTCTGTACAGAGACTAAAGACTACGGCTCTTAACTCACCAGATACAGTCATTCATTTTCTAAGTTAAGATTACTATGGTAGAGGTTTATTAAAAAAAATCAAGAAAAATATGGAAAAGCAAACAGTAAATTGTTATTTATTATTTCTCATAACAAGCAGGCACCCAATGAAATTATCAGGCAGCAGATTTAAAACAAACAAAAGGAAGTACTCTTTCACAAAGCACATAATTACATTGTGGAACTCATTGCCACAGGATGCTATTGAAGCCAAAAACACAAATGAGTTCAAAAAAGGTTTAGACAAATTCATGGAGGATACGTGCACAGACAGCTATCAGAAACAATGATGCAGATACAGTCTTGGGCTCTGGAAGTCCCTAAGCTATTCACTTTCAGAAGTGGAAAGGATATGCAAGGGGAAGGTTTACACTACTCTCTTCTTGTTTCTTGAGCTCCTTCCTTAAGCATCTGCTAAAGGTCCCTCTTAAAGACAAGATAGGGGGGAAAAACTGACCTTCTATGTCTGTCTTAAAATTTTATTTTGTATTGAGCTATGAATAGTCTTTTTTATTGACTTGCTGTGCGTAAAATAACATACAAAAAAGATGATTTTCATTTTGCGTCACTGACTCAATTCATAAGCTTCTATAAGCCCCTACTGTTTTTTAACTTGCCCAATCTTATATGTTATTTTAAAGCCAAGAAAACAAAAGCTGGTAAGAGTAGCAAGGGAAAAAGACAATTGTTAGAAAGTGGCAAATGGTGTTCCAAGGAGAAATTATTTGAAGCTGACGTCAGTGGGCAAAAAAAGCCTTGACAAAGCCTTAAAATAGGGCCCCAAACTGTGGCAAATGTTTTATAGACAAATAAAGATATCATCACTGCCCTGAAAAGCTTACCTTCTAAATCTCAGACAAGAATTAACAAGTGAGAGTAAAGGGGGCCAAAGCTCAAAGTTCTGTATTACCTTGTGGCTTCATTAGTAATTTAAGAGTGCAAACAATACTTCATTTTCAATTATCATGTACTGTACTTGCAAGATGATCTCGGCAAAGACACATGCTACAATGACACAACAGAAGATAACAGAGAAGTCTGCATGTATCAACAAAGGACCTAAGACAGCATTTTAGTGGTAAGTGAATAATTGGATCACACATGGGAATAAAGATGCCAAAAAAAAAAAAAAAAAAAAGTTCTAGTTGGGAAGGGTCACAAATGTTATAAGGAAGAAAATTTTCAGGTTGAGCTGAGGCAAGACTGTGAACAACCAAGTGTGGGAGCTGCCACAGGAAACACAGTACTGGCACAAGCTTGTGACTGCATCGCCAGGCTGTTGAAAATGAGTGTCTTGCACAGACATTTGTTACACTGTTGCCCAACCAATACAAGTAATGACATGCCTAACTATTTTGAAATGCTGGTTCCACAGCCATGCTCCTAAAAAAATAAAATAAAACAGACACAGCTGTATATAAACTCCCTTCTTCCAACAGCAACTTTTTCCAGAAGAACGTGATGGCGATCAATAATTTTGCAAATAACTTCCACAGAGTAAGCAGCAGTATCTCTGACATTAATGTGTTCTGCTGCGGACGTGCAGGGCAGGAACTTTTATGCAGGGTGACAGGAGACAGACTGAAAACAAATCAGAGAACTTTCACCAACTAAATCTTCTTGCCAAAATGAGAAGTTTAGGAACAGAATGAAAGAGGGCATAAAGAAGACACTACCTGCTCCTAACTCCAGCCAGTTAGATCAGAGGATGCAGGGACTTACTTAAGGAGCAGACAGGGAATTTATTTGACAAAAAGCCTAGTGGCAAGTTGATTCCTGAGCAAGGGCAAAATTATAGGGAAGGACTGCAGATCTAACTGAATAAATGATCATTTTTTAAAAGTGGAGAGAAAGTTTGCAAGGAGTGAAAAAAAGCCAATAGCAAAGGCTAAAGGAAAATCGCCAACTGTCAACCTTGCAAAACACATTACATAAAAAGTAAAAATGTCAAGACAAAACATGTGAAAAATGAGTTAGAAATACTATAGATGACACTCAAATATAATTATAGTACTACTCTGAAACAAAATTAATATTTTGCCTTTTCAGTAAAAATGATGCAGAGAATGTGGTCAAAAGGCAGTATAAGAGTATGGAAGCAGAAATTACAGCATACGGGATACAGAATTACTACGTTAAAATGATGAAATTGCCTAGGGCATGGAAGAGGGATGAGGGGCAAAAACCCAAGTTAATAGATCATGTCCATCAGAAAAATACTAAAGAACTCATCCATGAGGCTGCCAATCCCATAGCGATGCTTTTGATATATCAAGGGATGCTTTTGATATATCACGGGAGAGTATCACATGACTGAACCCCGTTAGAGCAAGCAGAGTCACTGTAATGAAAAATAGGAAGGACATACAATCCTGACATCTACAGATCCAGGACAGTCTCAAGAGCAAAACACGCAACACAACAAACTTTGATGGTAATATTATAGGGGCCGGTCTATAAAAGGGAAATGAAATAAAATACAATGTGGATTTACACAAGATAGCTGACAGTAAATTAACCTAGTAACTTTCTCTGACAAAGATTTTTTCTAGGCAAAAGAAACACCAATCTCATCTCTCTGAACTTCTACAAAGCACCTGGCACAGCACAACAGGCAAAATTATTG